TTGATGTATCTGTGTGAATATGTGTGTTCTATATATATATATATCCCTATATTATATAGTTGTATTGACGAAAGTGAGTCTCAGCCCTCCGCTCCCTCTCAGCTCCCCCTCAATTTACGTAGTTATTTGCTTGTTTTTACATCATTTTTGATAAAATTATATTTGAGTAAGTTCACCTCCTCCTCACTCTTCCTTACTCCTCCACGCTTCTTCTCCGCATCCTTCTCAGTTCCTCCTCAAAGAACATGCATTGTTGTTCTGTAGTTTTTATGAGATCTTTAACCAACTAAAATTGTTTCATTTGCACTCCTCCTTAGCTTCTACCATCATCCTATATTTTTATATTTTACAGTTGGTTTGGTGAAAACGGTTATTCACTATGCGCCTATGTCAGGTGGCGCCGACGAGTGAGAGAAATCGGCCCTCGCTAAGATCGCCAGAATACACGGAGCCTTATAGGGAAATTTTTTAATAAATTAAAAAAAAAAGATTATTAAGAGTAAATTGACCAAATGAATCAGTGATTTGAGTGTGTATTATGTTAGTGTACAGTAATAAATTTTGTTTGGTATAGTCATGTGTACTACAAGATAGGAAAAAATAAAAACATACATTGCGACTATGATAACATAGCATATAATATATATAATTTTCCTTTCCTTTCCGTTTCAGTAAGTTTCCTTGAAAAGAATCCGATGGGTCTCCATGTGTTTTGAATGCGCTGCTCCAAGGCAGCTCCTATCGCGGTATCCGATTCGTCCGTGACAAGCGCCAACGGTGCAGTGGGCGAAGGGTAAGCGACCAGAGTCGTCGAGGCCAAAGTTTCCCTGAGCGTCGTGAAAACTTCCTCCGAGGAGCTCGTCCATTGCACTTTTCTGCGGTCATTTTTACGTGCTCCCTTCATATATTCATTCAGTGGCACCTGGAGGTGAGCTGCTTTTTCTATGCACGGTCTGTAATAGTTAATCATACCCAGGAATCTCCTCAGCTGCATGATGGTGTCCGGCTTAGGGTACTTCAACATTACTTCAACTCTTTCCTGAGTAGGCTGGTAGCCCTCTGCGTTGATTCTGTAGCCCAGATACGTGACGTCAGCAGCGGCGATCCTGCACTTGCTGAAGTTTATAGTGAGGCCAAACTGTCGCAGTCGCTCCAGGACGGCACGCAAATGAAGCACGTGCTGCTCTTCGCTCTGCGAGTAAACAATGATGTCAACGTAGCAGTACACAAACTCCAAGTCTCTGAATACCGCATCTATGAAACGCTGAAATGTCTGCGTTGCGCCCTTTAGACCAAACGGCATCACCACGAACTCATACAAGCCGAATGGGGTTGTGATTGCAGTCTTTTGCACATCTTCTGGAGCCATGGGTATTTGGTAGTACGCTTTTACAAGGTCCAGTGTGCTGAACATTTTCTTGTTGTGGAGCCTAGGAAAAAGATCTTGTATAAGCGGCGGCGAGTACCTATCTGGGACCGTTTTGGAATTTAATTTTCTGTAGTCACCACATGGTCGCCAGTCTCCATCCTTTTTTCGCTCCATGTGTAGCGGACTTGCCCATGGGCTGTTAGATGGCCTTATTACGCCTTGTTCCAAAAGTAGGTTGATGGCTTTTTTTGCTGCTTGTAGTTTCTCCCCGGCTAATTTTCGAGGTCGTTCCGCAACTGGTGGACCCTCCGTCACTATATGGTGGGCGACCACCGTCTCCGACACTGAGCGGTGCTTAGCTGGAGGCCTGGTCAAATCGGCGTACTCGTTGATCAACGCTGCGAACCGGCCAGACAAAATGCTGTCAAGATTGATCGTCGATATGCCGTGCACGCTCGGCGTTTGGAGCTGCCCAAGGGACCTTAGTCCAGTGAGGGGGTCAATGAGACGTTTGTGCTTTAGGTCAACGAGAAAACCATAGTGTGCCAGCAAATCCGCTCCCACTATTATTTGTTGTACATCAGCAATGGTTACGGGCCACTTAATGTCGCGTCTAATTCCGAGATCCAGTGTGACCAATCGTTGTCCGTATGTTTTAATAATTGTGGAATTTGCTGCATAAAGTTGCGTTGGCTGAGCAGTGAGCTTTTCTTTTGTTAGCCCCTTTGGCATAACCGTGATTGCTGAGCTTGTGTCAATTAAAATTTTCTGTCGACTAATTTTGTCGAATATTATGAGGCGTGTGTCTTTGTCGCTGTCGCTCGTTGCCTCTGTTGAGCACAGCTTGTTTAGTTTCCCTGACCTTTTGCTACATATCTGCTACATGGTTGTTTACACTTGTAGGACTCGTCACCAAACTTGTTGTGGTAGTAGCAAAGGTTTGGGTCGTCTTTGTTTTGTTTGCGATGCCTGCTGCGTGATCTGGTCCTATCCCGCGAGTTGCGTTGTCCTTGACCGGAGAGCCGTTTGACTTCTTGAGCAAGTGTGTTTATTAATTGCTTGAGCTCAGCAATTTCTGCGTGCGTGTTTGTTTCCGAATGGCTCGCATGCCTTGTCTCTACCGCGCAAATTTCGCTTTTTGTTGGCTTTAAAATTTCAACGATTTTGTCGGCTTGTTGTGCGAGCTGGGTTATTTCTTGGTTTTCATTAACTACGAGGTGCGATCTGACGCTTTTTGGCAAGTAGTCCAGAAAAATTGCACGTAGCACCGCTTCATTGCACTGCCCCGCTGATAATTGTTTTAGCCTTTGCAAAAGATGCGTTGGTTTTTCGTCAATTATATGCTCTCTGCTCAAGAGTTTTCGAAGCTTTGATTCGTCACTTTCCGTGAATGTGTCCAGAATTCTTTGTTTTATTTTCTGGTACTTGTCGGTTTCGGGTGGTTGTGCAACTATATCGCTCACGAAATTAGACGAACTCGGATCCAAGCTTAATATGACGTATTTATATTTATTCGAATCGCTTGTAATACGATTTAAGTCAAAGAGAGCTTCGAGCTGGGCGAACCAAAAACGCGGATTTTCTTTACAGTATGGTGGTGCCGACACATGCTTGCTAACCACGGCTATTTGAGGTTGACCATTACCGTTATTTTTGATGGTCCTCATCCGGGTATTAATTTCTTGCAGCTGCCTTTCAAGAATTTGCTGGCGTTGAAAATTGTCGGCATTCTGTGGGTTTACCTCCATTTGCTCGTCCAACATGGTGCTGTGTTTGGCCCGTTTTATTTCAGCCGGGTACCGATTTGTTCCTCCGAGGTCTGCTCCGCGCTTCGTATTTCTGATTGGGTATTCTTGCTTCAGTAGGGGTCACCAATGTGGTTGTTTTGGGTAGCACTAAACAATTATTTATTTTTGAACGATTTAGTATGATTTATTTATTTACAACCTTTTTACAATATATGTGCACACCTTTGATCAGGTGGACTATTTCAAGAGTCTTTGTGAGATAATGATGTTTAACACACTTGAACACTGAAACGAAACGCTGTATCGTTAACAGATGGAGCTATTGAGCCAACGCGGTAGGCGAGCTTGCTCTGACTAGGTAAACCATCGGGAGGGCTCTGGCAGCTCCGCAGCTGTAGAGAAGGCTTCTCGCGGCCTGAGGACTTGTTTCCGTTTGTGCCCCGTTGCCAGATCGTTTTTTCTTACTAGGCAAGGTTGCCTGTTGTCCATCTGGATTGATGATGGTGAGGCCGCCACACATCCAAGTACCAACCGCGCAAAATGCAGCTTAATCTTAGAGATCGACGGAACTGCAACTCTACCGTTGCGCCACCGCGACCACTATATATAGCTACATACACATGAGTAGCTGATGACTGACATGAGAAAGTAACTAGGAGAGAGCTGCGCAGTAAGTAAGGTTTGTAACCTGTGTAAATTTTGCATCCAGCGTTCTTAAACGAATAAACTATGGGCCAGAAATCATAGTTAAATTGTAAAATATCTTTTTCATGCAGAGACACGCAGTCAATCGTTATAAGTTTATTCCATTGATTTTCAAGATTTCCGAGATTTTTCTCATTAATGAAAGTTTCAAGAAGTGGCAGTTAAGAAATTGTAACTTTTGATAAAAGTGTATATTGTCAGGTAGTCTTTGAGAAATCTCGATTAAGAGACTTAATAAAAAGTAATGGTCTGTACTTTATGTCCACACTGAGAAAGATTTGGCGCCGTCAGAGTACCACCGGTAGTACAGTGCTAGTTCGGAAGTTTAGTGCATCAGCAATACCAGTTGAGACGAGAGCTGCACAAGACCTGTATATGCGATGCACCTAACCTATGATACATACGTCGAACCACACTATAGGTAACGCTACTATACTTGGGCTCGTACGTACGCTGTTCCGACTGGGATACCTGCTATCCCAGTAGTCAGAGACAGCAGACTAATAGTGATTTGGTATAGCTGCTGTAGGGGGAGGGACAACAGCAGCACCAAATCTTTCTCAGTGCAGTTTATTAGCGGTGGTATTATTAAAAGTGTTTAATAATTTCGTATACTCAATACGAAAATAATATTGAGATACGGTAAAGTATGCTAAATCATTGCCAAAATTTATGAAAACCTTCTTCAGTCTATTTATTATTATTAATAAAACTTTGTTTTATACATTTTTTTGCAAAAAATGTAACTAACGACTTGACATTATCATAAGCTGATCCTATAATTAACGTTGGTAAAAAAAGTCAACTGATTTGTAAGCTAATAAATTAGCCAATTTCTGAGACCATCAGTGAATAATTTTTTGCACTAAGAAATTTTTTCTTCTTATTTATAAAAATTTTGAACACGCATCAAGTTACTCTTGCGAAAAAATAACTCACTGGTGTTACTGCGTAACATGAAAAAAACTTAAGCTACTCAATAAACTAAGTTGTGTAAGCCTAAACAAAATATAAGTTTAAAAGTGTTAAAAATTATAATTTTTATAATAAAAAATATGTGTATTAAGACATTTACAGTTAAATAAAATAACAGAAAAATATGATTATATAAGTACATAAAATAATAACTTCCATAAGTTCCGTTTATGTGGTACAGTAAAACTTATGAGTTTTTGCAGTGACGAATATATCGACGGTTGGGTAAAAGACAGAGCCAACTCAGATAATTGGTGAGAAAGGAGCCAACTCGAAATTTGGGTTGAAAAAGCAGTCAACTCAGATTTGGCTTGAAAAAGGAGCCAACTCAGGTTCGGGTTGAAGAAGCAGTCAACTTGTGAGTAATTTTTTTTCATCAAGTTTTGTCGTGGTAGCACTGACATTCACAATATAGGTACACCTAGATGAACAAAGCAAAGATCTTTGAATAAATCATCCAATGTTTCAGAAAAATAATGAATGATATTGTAGTAGAGTGTACTGTACTTATTAAATTATGTACTTTACAAGTCTGCTGCGATCAGACGTAATTTTATGAACAGACTGTGGACGTAATTCATTTTGAATGTTGTTTAAAACATTTTAAGCTAATTTTTTTTGTTTTGAAACATCGTCTTGAAAAAACAACTTATTTCAACTACAAATGTTTTTTTTTTTTTTTAACTTTAGTATACAGTTATTATATTTTTTAATTTCTTCCTAATTATAAAATTCATGAATTCTATGTCAAGGTGGCGTGCTATTTCATAATGTTTTTATAAAAACTGTGATTTTCATATACAAAAGTGATAACGTATCATACATAACAATTCCATGTTTTTTAAAGTATATTTATGTACATGTACGTTCCCACACAACATTATAGTCATATTTATTTAACATTTTTTCTCCCTCCTATGATCACAGCGGAATAGTAAACAACAGAATTAAATAAATATAGTACGCTCTACTACAATAACATAAATTATTTTTATGAAACACTGGATTATTGAAAAATCTTTGTTCGATTATATAGGTGTACCTTTATTGTGACTGTCAGTGCTGCCACGACAAAACTTAATGAAAATAAATTACTCTCAAGTTGACTTCATCTTCAACCCGAACCTGAGTTGGCTCCTTTTTCAAGCCAAATTTGAGTTGACTGCTTTTTCATCCCAAATTTCAAGTTCGCTCCTTTTTTACCAATTAATATCTGAGTTGGCTGTGTCTTTTACCCAACCGTCGATATGCAAGTCTCATAAGCACATAAAAGTAGAAGTCTCGATGAAAAAAAGTTCAAATTTTTTTATGAACCACTAGAGTCTTAGGCCATTGCAAATCGATTATCTCTACTAAAAAAATTAATTTTATGGGATTTCGTAACTGTTGAATTTTCAAGTTCCGATTTTGTAAAAAAATACAAGTTTTCCCAATCTGGAATTATTTCAACGAATAAAAAATAATAACTAATAATGAGAGAACTATTTAAATCCAAATTTGAGACAAGTAATACAATTCATTAGGAAATATTATTTTTTATAATCAGTCATTATTTTTTTCCGTTGATAATGTCATTCTAGAAAATAGAAAAAAAAGTGAATAGAAAGAACTTTTATTGTTTATTATTACTATCCGATACTTGAATTTTGAAATTCATCCGTGCTTCCTTCCTAATTTGGGCTCAACAGGATAGAAGAGCAGGGAAGACAAGAGGATTCGGTTGAGAGAGTTAAGACGAGTCGGTCTCTGATACACTCTTCCCTTACCGATATAAGTATGACAAAGGATTGTCGAATATAAAACATTCTCACTATCTTGCGTGCACCTGAAGCCACCATTTTCCCACGTAACAATGCCAAAATGATTTTTTTTAAAGTTCTTATCGTAATCTAATTTATTTTTAAGATACTTGTCATTCAAGATTTATAATTTGTTAAAATGATTATTTTATTTACTGCAATACTTATCATTTTAATTTATTTTTATCAAACTTATACAATAATCAAAAATTTTCTGTTAAAATGAGTTTTTAATATGGTTTGCTTTTAGAGATTAAACAATTTTTAAGCTTCTAAGGTATTGATCAAAATATACTTCATTTAGTTTTAATTTAGTTACAAAACATCATTATTCATGTTCAAAAAATCAAATTTTTATCGAGTTTACTTCAAGAATTTTGAATAATAAGTTTATTCTATAATTATGTTACTAAGTAGAAATTTGATCCTTTACTTTTTATAATCAATTCCTTGTTGAATACTAAAAACTTAAGAAGAAAAAAAACTCAACGTGCCACAACAGTGCCTCATAGGTGGTGTGGAAATCAGTAAAAATATATTTTCCGCCTTATAACCTCAAAATAGCACCTTCGCCGCTTGATTTTGGGTTCTCAGGCGGAAAAATAGCATACGAAACTCGTTCGAAAAGGCTTCTTTACGAACCTCGTTACGGTCCTCGCCTTCGGCTCGTAAAACCTCTCGGTTCGTAAATCAAAGCCTTTGCAAACGCGTACGTAATATACTATTTCATCATACCCTGACGGGAAGTTCACATTCTCCTTCTGATTTCAGGCTGGGAAGTTATGCATTCCTGACCAGGACGGGAATTTTTTTTGTTGCACACTAACGTACTTACGGTAGTTTATCCTACCAGTGGAGCTCATCCATAACTACTTTTGCTATACGAATGAGTACACATAGATAGTAAAGAAAAAGTTAATTCTATTCATTAAAGCAGTTAAGTAGTTGGGCTTATTTTGATTGGAGTACATAGTGCTGGAATAGTCTTCCTCTCAGACGTCATGCAGTTTCATCGAGTACCGCTTTCTTGAATAGAGTATATTAGTACATGTGTGGCGTCTCACATCTCTCGCGCTTCAGGCTCTACTCGCCAGGTGGCCAAGCCCCCAATAGTTAACTCCCGTCAAGCGGCGAAATTCCCGCACGATTACTATAGTACATATATGTAAGCGCGATCGAGTCAGTCTAAGGTCTAAGCCCACACCTCTTCTGTGTCTAAGGCAGGGAGCACGTCATCAGCCTTACCGATGAGTCCTGGCGTGCTCTCGGGACGAAACACCTTTTTCTCTCTCCCATAGACGACCTCTCGATCTCTATACATGTCCCTTCAAGACGTTCATCACACATAGGTTTTTTTCAGAAGTACTTAAACATTCAACGTATATTCGAAATAGCATAAAAAACACCCACAAAAAATTAAAGCTCGTTTAACTGTATCTTTTTTTAATGTATGTTTCCTTTTAAAAAAATCTCAATTTTAAATGCAGTAACGTTATAAAAGAATCACGCAAACATTGCATTTATATGATCTGTAGAAATCACTTAATTTTTTGGTATGAAAGGTTACTTTTAGATAAACCTGTTTTATTTTCAAATAGATCTATAATTTTTTTTTTTTTTTTATTAATAACACATAAAAAAAAGGGTTCAACAAGTATGTATAAAATCGTGTGTAAGTAAATCCACATGAGAAAAACTATTGCCAGTTTTGCTGCACATATTTGCACTCTTCTTACTTCTCTGAACTTTTCCCCCGCTATAACAATGTGATGAAGTCGTTAAGTCAAAAAATAAAAGATGAAAAAATTGTATTGATAATTATTTATTGTAAAAGTAACAAATAAATGATATATAAATGTTTATTGATACATAGGAAAGCTGCTCTGCCAAAATATACTAATTTCTAAGTTAAAAAAAATCATTAAACAAAAAAAATTAGATTATTAAATGAATAATTTATTTAATGTACTTTGTCAGGACTTCGGCTAAAGTGCAAGAGATCGTGGATTCAAATCTCTTGGAATATTTCTTTTCTTTTTCTTTTTTTTTTTAAGAATGGGAAATAAAATCAATAAAATTCAAAATGTGTGCTGTAGTGGCGTGGCGTCGTATGAGTTTGGTGTGGTGTGGAGGGGAAAAGGCGCGGGACGGTATGGTATGGCGAGAGTGATGGAGCGAAAGGGGAGTATGTAACATGCAAAATCTACTTCCGTCACACATTTTCTCAATGTCACAATTCTGAAATTGTTAATTTACTCTAGCGTATAACACGCCTATGGAATTATAACGTCAAAAAACAGATTTTCACGGCTCATTTGTTAATAACGAATGAAACACCATACCTCTAACGATACTGACAGGTATCATTGATTCATGAAATTTATAAATTTAGTAATATTCGTTGTTCTCATCCTTGGATACTTGGATATGAAAGATATCAGTACAAGCATGGAATTGGGTAGTATTAATTAGTTATATTAATTAAATACAAAAATTATAGACTATGCACATGATATATTTTTTTTCTCAATTGCAATAATGTACACTCGTATTGTTCAATCAACACATCTCGTGATTATAGACAATTAATCGTCATAGTTTAATTTTCTGAACAGCATTTCAATACAATTTCCATAGGTGCTTAGCGATGATGGTGTACCCTCGAGCTGATTAAATAGAGCTATAGCATGCGGAATGTTGCTCTGTTCGACTAAATTGTTTATCAGCAATTTGACGTTCTCCTCGATTTCGGGTAAGGTTCTGTTTAAAAATACTTCTTCCAGTATTCGGTAGTATAGGTCATGACTTACGTCGAACGATGAGGTGAGGTTGTTGAAAAAAATTTTTTCTAGTATGGCTGAATTCAATTTCAATGCCTGAAATATGCAAGTCAATTACAATAATGAAAGTAGTTAGGTTTAAAAGTACTTAAAATTAAGAAACGAATTACATAACCTTATAATTTTTTTTTATATTATCAACAGCTTTTTGATGAAGTGATAAATTTGTAGAGCACAATTGCAAATATATAAACTGTTCCACTGTAAAAAAATATTTCTTCTCTTGAAGGAATTCCGTTAACACCTGTTGACAGAGCATTAGGCTGCGTTTAAATGGAGTCTGGGAGTCTGCCAGAATGGCATTGAAGCCCATAAGAGTGAGAGAGAGATTCATCACGTGACCACATCTAACCTCTCTCTCACTCTTATAAGCTTTAATGTCAGTCTGGCAGACCAGAGATGATACTCATCTCTGGGCAGACTCCCAAACTCCATCTAAACGCAGCCTTAGTATTAAAAACTTTTGCATTTAAAAATTTAACAACACAAACTAATTTTAATTACGATTTGAGGAACCGTGCATCTGTCGAAGAAAGCTGCGATTTCTTCAAAAACTTCATCATTGTAGCTATTATTGTTGGTCGCATTTATACTTGTTATTTTGACAATCATTTCCAGCGCTGGATTGTTATCATTGAATTTAAGCATTGACCAGTTCGGCTGATCTAGTAACATTAGTTTTACTTTTTTATAATCATCAAAGGTTTTTATTTTTGAAAATTCAGTTATAATGTTCTCGTAATTTTTCTCGTCCAATAAATCATTTTTTAATTCACGAGAAGAACTAACTGACTGAGGAGTGACAGTGCTTGGAATTTTTTTTGCATTATCACTTATAGAACCTGGCTCATCAGCCCAGTCATTGTTCCAATTACCCCAAGCATCTGTTTCTTCTGAGAATGCAGTGCAATTGGATGATGATTGTATATCAACTTCCAATTTATTATTGCTATAATATTTTTTGTTTAAGATTTTATTTTTATTTTCATCACTCTTAAAATTAAATTTAACTGTTTCACTCCAATCGTTCCATTCACCTAATTTTTCTAATGATTTGTTACAGTCAGAATAACTTTTTAATTTGAATTTATCATCAAGGCTTTCACATTTTTCTAAAAATACTGCATTAATTTCATTTTCATCGTCAACTTCAATTTCAGAATTTTCTTTATCATTCCAATCATTCCATGCATCTAGTTCTTCTGTTACTGGAGAATAATCGAGCGTACACTTTCGTTTTACTTCTAATTTATTATCACTATTATATTTCTCTTGCAGCATAGGTTCACCACAAGCATTTGTCTTATGAGAATTAGAACCAAACTCAGCGTTTTCCTCATCACCCCAATCACCCCAGTCACCCAATTCTTCTGATAAAGAAACATTACTCGACACATGCTTCTTGTTTACGTTAAACTTATCATCCACACTATGCATATCTGACTGCATATTATCAACCTTGTAATTTTTTATCTCAACTTTAGTTATGGTATTCTTTTTCTCCATGTTACTTTCTTTTCCTTCTTTTTTTTCATCGTTCTGTTGTTGCAAAAAAAAATTTATTTTCCTCTTCAATTTAATTTGATAATCATCTTCATTCGAAATTTCAGCATTTGACATGTGTGTAATAAGTTTCTTAGGACTGTATAAAAATACTTTATTACTATCTGGATAAAGTTGGGAATACAGTTTCAATGAATAGAAATAAGCATTGAGTTGACAATATAGTTTGGTTCGAGGTAAAATTTCAAAGGTGTCTTCGATGCTCGTTGAATGCTTATCGGATAGATTCAATAAATAACTCATGCCCGCAATGCAATCTTCCGTGACGGTTCGCTCAGCGCACTCAAGTAACACTAGAAAAAGAAAAAAAAAAAAATTAGATACGAGATGCAACAATTCATGTTTTTAATAACTAAAATATGTAAAAAAAAATTGTACAAGACTCACAATGATTGATATCACTGACTTCAGCACCGTAAGAGGCAGTTTCGTTCAGCAAATATATTCTCAACAAAGTTTGCACCAATTTCAACTTAACATCGTAATCTTCCATTGAAAATTTCGAGTACTTTGTGTCAATATGACTTATTCCGCAGTTTTCATGCAGAGTTTTATAAAAACAGGCAAACTTAAGCGATTCTTCTGGCTTCTTTAGAGGTAGGATTTCGTCCTCATCAGTCACTTTGAATTGATTACTATTATCTAAGAAGCTGAAGCTCAACTTTGACGCCCAAAAATGTTTGTTCCTTGCATTTCTGATCAAATTCAACGTCGACTTCGTTGCGATTTGAGCCGAGCTCTTAACCAGCTCAGTAGATGTTTGCACGATTTTCGGAACGAATTCTTTATTTTCGACCAAAGGCTGCAATAAGCAAGTAAATATATTAAAGAAAAAAAACCTAATAAACAAACTAACCAAATGCGACAAGAAAATATTTTTAAAAAACTCCCTCACCATACTTAGTAAATCTGCACTATCACCATCGACGTTCTCTTGATCCTCTCGTTGTTCGCCTTCGACTGACATTATCTTCACCAAGTGAAAATTTAAAATTTGAACCTCAAGTAAATTGGCTCGTTTTATCAAACCCTCGATAACGTCACTCGGGCCATAGTGAATGGCAAACCAAATGCAGCTCTTGCGAAACTGTAAGTCATCAAACTCATCACAGCAGGCCAAATCCTTGGCAATGCCCCAGGCTATCTGGTAATTATTCTTGATCATGTCTTTCAAGACAGATGCGCAAAAGTTATAGTCACTGACTCCATATGCCTTCTTCGCTATTAAGTTCAGTACTTTTCCTTCTCGCGAGCGGTTGTTCTTTTGCTCGATTCTCAAGTACTTGGATAAATTCAGCAGCTTTTGTTTGCTCTTGTACGCGTCTTTATGACTATTTAAGCAGTCCTCGATGAGCTTCAGTCGCTCCTGCAGCATCCTCACTTGAAGCGGCAGAATGTTTATGTGAAACTCGTTTAATAATTGTAACGACTCAATTAGATCGTACTCCTCTCTTACCCTGTCATTATTCTCATTTATTAAATGAAGGCACTCTCTGAAAACAAGACATTCCATCAGTTGAAGAAGCTATTTGACGTTTATAGTTAAATTTCATTTGATGAGTGTTACTTAGCCAAATCCATGCCTGGATCTATCAGGCTTTTGGAATTATTAAAGTAGTAGTTACTGGCTTCTAAAACGAAATCAATGGCTCGTTCATGAGAAACTTTAAGTCGGGATCGTCCACTTGCTTTTGTTTCCATTAAATTGGTGCAACCTCTGATTGCATTTATAGATTGTGATTTTAATCTTGCTAGCATAGATATTTCAAAACAGATCTCTATGTCTAGACAACTAAATACTTGTTCCTGAATATCTAGCATGTCATTCAACATTTGTAACCAGTTTTTCTCATTGGCATGTGGATATCTAGAAGGTATGAACACAACTTGGAAATTTAGGCAAATGTAAGTTGGATACAATAAATAAAAAACTTACATTTTTGTTAAATTTTGGCTCATTTCTGTTAAAAGCTCTTTAGCACCTGAAGAATTTTGCTTGCTATCTCTAACTTGATGAAACGGTATCAGAACCTCGTACTTACTCAATAATTGTAAACATTTCAACTCTTTTTCAAGTTCCTTGAACTTGATGCTACTATCTTCCCTTCCTCTGGCTAAGCTCACCATTGCATCATAAATAGCTTTAGCTTTCTCATACATGTCTGTATGGGTGCATGCATAAATACAATCTACTGCTAAAGCAGTAACACTTTTTATTGCATCAAAAATTTCGGGATCACAAGATGATTGCAAAGACTTGAAGAATGTCACTGGAAGCGCTAAGTCTGATTTACTTAGCAGTACTAAATAATCATACAATAAATTTCTTTCCAATTTATCATCCTGAATGGAATAAAAATTTTATTAAAAGAAACGTAATAATTTAAAGGCTTGTTAAAAATTTTTGATTACACTGACATTATATCTTTTTTTCCTTCTTGAATAAGGCAACAACAAAGTTTTAATGTTGTTGACAAAATTTTTTTCATTAGATTTCGACATTAACAATTTTATTTTGTTCAAGTCATCTAATTTTTCGATTTCTGTCAAAGATAATTCTTCAAGACCAACTTTGTAAACAAGATCATCCAGAGATTCTAATAGAAACAGTAAATTTTCTAAATTTTTAATATTATGCGATTTTCCAATGTTTATTAGAGCCAAAGCGTTGTCCACTAAACGGCTCTCGCGTTCAATTTCATAAGCTCTGTCACTATACCATTTTTGTAACAAATCCATTGTAAGCTCTTTACTTCTACCAAAAAAAAAAGTTGATAAGATATTCTTGTTCTCATTGATGTGGTGTAGGTATTCAGATTAACTTTCATTTGATATAAAATTAGTTACCGGTACACTGAAAGCGATTTTTTAACCTCATAAATAAATTCTAAATCTTCATTTCTATCCAAATTAGGGATATTATCAAACATAGCTCTTTCGACCCAATCTTTTGGTCTCAATTCTTGTTGGTACAATAAAAATAAACGACTTTCTAAATCACATTCTGGCAGAAGTTTTTGATACTTTTCTGGATTCAAGGTTTCAGGAAAGAAGCTAATTATTGTCAGCCAGTGGGGCATTAATTGCAAACTGTAATAGGTGAACATGACTTCCACTCCTCGACAGTTAGAACTTTTAGCAAACCTGAAACAACCATTTATTTACCTGGGATAAATAAATATATGTAATGAATAAAACTTTCTTCAAATACATTAAAATTGCGTAAGTTTACTTGACAGCATTTTCAACTGGTGACAGTTGTCTGAATTCCTCATAGAATTTCTTGTCAAATTTGTTAGGTGACTCCAAAAGTATTTCATATATTTGTAGCTTATCTAAATGACTCAGAAGCTTTTTCCTGTATCTAATCAACTCTTTTTGAGGCTCACTTAAGTGATCTCTGTTGATGGTATCCAAGGTCTGATTGATTTTCTGTATCTGAAACAAATAAATTAATATGATTAAAATGCAATTGAATATAAAAAAAAAAAAAAAAAAAAAAAAACAGTGGGCAGTGGGTGCTTATATACCCAAGTAGGAAGAGTTATACTTATATGATATTATATGGCAGACAATATAATTATGAATATAAATATACCTTCTATAAAACGAAATTGTGTACAAAGGTGGTGCAATTATAGTTGGAATGAGTATACCTACGTTAATTAGATGTGGTTTCAATCAATATTTTGATATTTAAGAAATAAGAGATTATAAACAATATATTACGGCACAATACGATATAAACGATATATAGGCTGTCCAGTACAAGACTATGCAGTTTCATCGAGTACTGCTTTCTTGAATAGAGTATATAGTATTACATGTCCCTTCAAGACGTTCATCACACATAGGTTTTTTTCAGAAGTACTTAAACATTCAACGTATATTCGAAATAGCATAAAAAACACCCACAAAAAATTAAAGCTCGTTTAACTGTATCTTTTTTTAATGTATGTTTCCTTTTAAAAAATCTCAATTTTAAATGCAGTAGCGTTATAAAAGAATCACGCAAACATTGCATTTATAAGATCTGTAGAAATCACCTAATTTTTTGGTATGAAAGGTTACTTTTAGATAAACCTGTTTTATTTTCAAATAGATCTATAATTTTTTTTTTTTTTTTTTATTAATAACACATAAAAAAAAGGGTTCAACAAGTATGCATAAAATCGTGTGTAAGTACATCCACATGAGAAAAACTATTGCCAGTTTTGCTGCACATATTTGCACTCTTCTTACTTCTCTGAACTTTTCCCCCGCTACAACAATGTGATGAAAGTCCTTAAGTCAAAAAATCACCTCAATCACGAATGGCAAGATTATGAAAGAATAAAACGCAATAAAAATTAATTACTATATTTATGGAGTACAATACATTTTTTTATTTTTTAAATTTTTGAAAAATTATGAAAACATTTCATCAACAATTAATAATTTATTGTAAAAGTAACAAATAATTGATAAGTGAATAAATATTTATTAATGCATAGGAAAGCTGCTCTGCTAAAACATACTAATTTTTAAGTTTTCGAAAAAAGCATTTAATTAAAAAAATTAGTTTATAGTAAATAAAAACTTACATAAAAAATAAGTTACGAATTAACCATAAAGTGCAGTAATTGTACGAATAATACACCAATAACCAATAACCCTAATAAATAATAAAATGTTAATTGAACACAAGCAGCACCCTGGGTTATTGGTTAATAGAGTGGCCAGTAAGCGCCCCGAGTCATCGAGTGATAGGAGCTTGTATTATTGCTTAACATTTTATAATTTAATAGAGAGGCAAGTAAGCGCCCCCGGTCATCGGGTGATAAACTTGTGCTTTTAATAAATAATATATGTCGTTTAATAAAGCGACCAGTAAGCGCCCCGGGTCATTGGGTGATAGGCGCTTGTGTTATTAATTAATACTGTATTATTTCTTAGAGAGGCAGACAGATGTGAAACATCAAAGAATACGTTATTGAACTCGGTTGTATTATTTATTCATATTAATTTTCTATAAGACGTTGAGCTCTTCACCCCTATGCAGTACATGATTTTTTAATTTTTCACTTGAGAGTAAAAAATCGGGCACAGATATAAAAAATATAAGGTAGAAATGTGAGTATGTAAGAAGAAGAGTGTATAAATAAAAATAAGCAGCATAAATTTAAAAAATGGTTTTTGTTTATTTTTACTAATACATGGAAAAGTGTAGCAGTATAAAAATATACAGACTATTTATAAAAATACTTATATTTTCTACCGTAATAAACATTAAGTTTGATCATTCGTAGCATCGGTGACGTCAGTAATGGTAACATTCGATGATGTTTGCGATGGAATAACAGTAATAATANTATAAGCTTGATTTTTAATGATACTAGTCTAACATTTTTGCGAAGCCCACAAGTATAAAAGTATATTGGTTCAAATTGATGACTGCAGATAAAAGAGTTGTTCGTCATTTTTATTTGACAACGAATAGCTAGACTATTTGCCCACTGTTCTCTTCTCTTTTCATCTTTGCCAGCACTAAAATATTATACATATAATAACATATATTTTATATGCAACTCTATTTTTCTATAAAGTATAATACTAAAACTTCTGAAGAAAGTGTACATAACTATTTACCTGTGAAAGGTTATATTTTTAGCTGCTAGTCGTAACTTTTGAGTTTACACGTTGGCACGCAACACGTTTTCATGTTTTTTTTTTAACCAAAACTTTTGCAAACTCACGCTTACATTAGCTATTCACTGTGATACTTACTTACAATAATTAAACTTTTGACTCGACTGATGTAAATATTATGAGCAAACGGCACTTACTCAAAGTGAAATACTACTATACCTATACATAGAGTCAACGGATAGCCAATCGCGAACGAACAAGAAGAAAAAGGTTAAAAAGTGGGGTACCCCAAACCTACCGCTTTCTCTCTCTTCAGTTGCTTACACGTTATCCCATTACCGTGCTTCCTCCATATGTATATGCTCTAAGGTTGGTAATGCCCCTTCGCTGCTGTCTCCTCGGTAGAACATTCTCCCTAGATCGTATAGCTATATATACGATCTAGGGAAAAAGTTTCGATATTAAATCTGCCTCACCCAACGCTGGATTGGTTCCAAACTCTGCCGCCTGCAGCGCTGCTGCAGAAGAGCCATCATGGCGCAGCGTTGGGTTAAGAGGATTCCCGCAGTGAAAATTACGGTCAGTAACATAAAAGTTACTGTCACTAACATACCAATCTATAGAGTGTTGGAGAAGCGAATAGGCAGAGAAGGAGGGGGCATTCCAGAGGTTCTCACCGGTGCTCCCAAATGTAACTGGGAAATATGTGAGAAATAACACAAGCGCCAATCACCACATAACCCGGAGCGCTTACAGGCCGCTTCAATTATTTATAATAAATATAATAATAAGACAAGCGCCAATCCCCACACAACCCGGAGCGTTTGCTGGCCACTTCAATTATTTTACAATAAATAAAGTAATAAGACAAGCGCCAATCCCCACAAAACTTGGAGCGCTTACTGGTCGCTGACAGGGTGTGTGGGGATTGGCGCTTGTCTTATTACTTTATTTATTGTAAAATAAGTAAGCAACCAGTAAGTGCTCCAGGTTGTGTGAGGATTGGCGCTTGTCTTATTACTTTATTTATTGTAAAATAATTGAAGTGGCCAGCAAACACTCCGGGTTGTGTGGGGATTGGCGCTTGTCTTATTATTATATTTAGTATAAATAATTGAAGCGGCCAGTAAGCGCTGCGGGTTATGTAGTGATTGGCGCTAGCGTTATTTCTCACATGTTTGCCAGTCACATTTGGGAGTACCGGTGAGAACCTCTGGAATGCCCCCTCCTTCTCTGCCTATTCGCTTTTCCAACACTCTATAGATTGGTATGTTACTGACCGTAATTTTCACTGCGGGAATCCTCTTAACCAAACGCTGCCATGGCGTCTCAAATGTGTATATATATGTACACAAATACATATACATATCTACTATGCTTGTATGTATTGAAAATGTATGTGTAAAGATAAAGTCATAAGCCTTATGTCTGTGCTGAGCAGCATCGACTGAGTCGAGTCGACTTATGTACGTGTAAAAATGACGTGACGGTCAACACAATACCTGGGGTCTGATCGGGGCATTCGATATTTCGCTTAAGTAAGTATTTCTTTCGATAATCCACATTAAATAACCAAAAATAACGGTAATGCGCATGCGTAGTTTAGGGATTATCAAAAAAACTGCTTACTTAAGCGAGATATTGAATGCCCCGATCAGACCCCTGTACATATTTTCGACGTCATGATGGCTCTTCTGCAGCAGCACTGCAGGCGGCAGAGCTTGAAGCCGAAAATTCTCATAGAAGTATAACTTCAAAAACTAAGTATTAAATCAGAGCTGTATTGGTTCAGTCGTAAGCATGCTTGGTATTGAAACAATACCGTTCAGAGGATGGATGGTTCGACTCCCGGTGAATACAAACTTTTTCAAAAAGCTGTTTTTAACGGGCAAGCGTTCCCTATGAACCTCGGCCGTTTCGGGGTGGCTTTTTCCTTCGGTATGGTTTCAGGTTTTTTCTTTGCCTCACATATCTTTAGGCCTGGGTGAATACGAAACAGTATCAGGGCTTCAGGTAGGGGGATTAAGACAGCAAGCGCCGTACTTGCCAGTGAGGAATAGTCCTTGAAACATAGGACTTCTCCAGGAATGCTAATTAGCCTAGATCCGATGCTTTGACACTAAGAGCGCCGGATTAATTGACAAGGAGTGCCTACACGGTAACAGGTCTTACCGGAGAAACTTCCACTGTCCCAAAGGTGTAATAAGTATGGTATCAATTAAGTTGATCGGTAATGGTGCAGTAATGAAGAATGTACGGTGAAAGCTTAGCTCAGAGATGACTAGAAAGATTGCTAATGCCAGTGCTACGATGTGAGACGACTTTTTTGTACTGATCGGGGCGACCTGCCGCGGCCAGCCGTCGAACCGGGCGCACATTTTCTGAGAGTGCGAGGGGAGTTCCGCGAGGGCCGGCAAAACGCATGTACGTATTGCCCGTGCACTGTCATTTTTTTTTGTGCATCGGCTGAAAAAGCATCGTAAATCAAAAAGTGTCATAATAGATAGGCGAATTGTTGCTTTACTAATTTGAGAATTTGCTAGGCTCGCGTAGTGGGTTATTACAGAGCAGTGAGGTGAAACGTAAAGTAACCTCACTTGCAGATAACACGTGTGTGGCACCCCCGCTTGGCGGGAGGTGTAAGGACATGTTGCAGAATCAAGGTGTCGACGAAGGGAAGAATTCCCTTCAGTCTACCAAAGACTAGGAATCTGAAATGGAGATAAGCAACGATGAAGCACTGCAGCACTCGCACGTAGATACGAGGTCTACTGCATCTCCTAACGTCAGGAAAAAGAAAAGAAAAGTTA